CTATAATGTCCTGAAACCTCTACAATCATGGAGATCCAATTTGATTGTAGTGAAGATTTTATCAAGTATCTTGGATCGACCCGTTTTTCTACATATGATGCCTTTAGTTCTAACCTCGAAGCATTTCAAAAGGTTAATGTTCTTATTGCTAACGTTACACCATATTGCTGATAGGCTAGTCACACATATTTCAAACCAACAAGCTCTACTTATTTTCCCTTGGAAACCGTTGAACGGCAATTGCTTTTTTACAAATATATCCGCTTTGCATGTGAAATGCACAGAAAGCCTGTCTCAAAGGGTGGATTTGAGTAACTGTTGATGATTTGAATACAATATTATAGTTTTGGGGGACTAGGCTGTCCAGCCTACTTTACGGTTGGATCTCGTAATTCTCAACTCGGTGTCGTCAAGTACTATATGGTTCACAACCACGAAGGGTATTCTGAAATTGAAGCTGCAGATATATTATCGGAACAATGTATGACTGAGGAGGGTAAATTTTCGATCACCTCTAGTTTTTTGGTCCAGATGATGCTGGTGCTGGTGTCGATTGTACAGCAATATTTTTGGATGTATTCAAGGACACCATGTTTGAGAGTTTTGCGGAACTGCAAACCAAAATGGATGAATTCCAGCGTATTACTGGTTCTCTCTATGGAAAGCGAAACACTAAACGCTTTCCGGCTGAATCTCCTTACGCTACCACCTTGGTTTACAAGTCCTTCGCTTATGAATGTTATCACTACGGTACCCATAACTGTGATGCATCTATTCAGCGAGTTCGAAGGTAACATGGGAACTTCTATTCTTTCTTATTGTCATTCACTTAGATCCGCTAAGATCGGCTGTCGCTCGAGAATTCACGTCAGCTGCTATCGCAACAAACTCAAAATTGTGCGTTTTGATGTGAAACACAATCACGATGTTGCACCAGAACACGCCAAAGCCTACCCTCGGAACCGACGGCTAACACAATCGCAATTGGCCATCGTAGAGAGTATGTTCCAAACCAATCAGGATAGCCATGCGATAAAGGACTTTATTGAGAGTAGGTTCAATAAATTCCCATCTCTAAAATCTTATTCTTAGACACATTCCACACGCCATGCACCATGTCTGATGTACGAAACATCAA